TAGAGAAATGGGATTGGAAATGCAAGCTATGATCCAAATTCTCCATGTGGATCCAAACCCCATTCGAGATTGGACAGACTCGAGAAGATCCCCGTCCACTCGATCGTAGGCCTTATCCTAGTCAAGCTTGGATATAACTCCCTTTTGACTTGAGATGGATCTAGAGTGAATAGCTTCATGAGCCATGAAGGCCCCATCTAAGATTTTTCTATTAGCAACAAAGGTCGACCGAGAGGGGGAGACCACAGTGCTAAGGACCTCTTGCAAGCGTGTTGCCAAAACTTTGGCAAGAATTATGTATGAGGAATTTAGGAGACTGATGGGCCTAAAATCTCTAACTTTGTGCGCACCTTCTATTTTAGGAATAAGGGCAAGGAAGGTTGAATTAAGAGCCGAATTGAGACAACCCCTATGGAAGAATTCACCAAAGAAGGCAAAAAGATCTGGGGCAATGGTGTCCCAGAAAAGTTGGAAAATGGCGATGAGAAACCCATCAGGCCTAGGGTCCTTGTCTTTGGGAAGAACAAAAACAACCAAACAAATTTCTTCTAGGGTGAAGGGTCTTTCCAACCGCAAAATATTGAGATGAAGGGAGGGTCTGAAAATTGAGACTTCCCAAGGAAAGGGAGGGGTTCTGAGGTTTAGAGAAAAGGTTTTTAAAATACCTTAAAAAAAATCGTTTAATATGGTCCTGTTGGTAGAAGGAATGGTTTCCAACAGAGATATGAGTAATCGCATTGCTCCTGAGTCTAGAACTAGCAGATCGATGGCAGAATGTAGAGATAGCCATTTAATACCCTTGAAACTTTTAGAGGGCATTTTGGTCATTTTATTTTATTGAGAATATTTTTTAGTATTTTTTATAGGTGTGGGATTAATAGAGGAGTAGATGCCCAAATTTTGGTATGAAAATGTTTTGTATAAAAAAATTAATAATAAAATAGTGTAGACGCGTGACATTGTGATTGGGGCCATTTCAACTATCCATTCAGAATGGACGGTTGGATAGGGGGAAGTATATAAGTTTTATACATTAGGGGAAGGATATAAAGCTTGCCCTTCTTTATTTTCTTCAATATTTTTCTTTTTTGAAACTGTCACTTTCGACTGAAAAGCTTGTCATACATTTTGATTTGAAAATCTACTCGTTCTTTTTTCATGTGCTTAAAGAGATCTACTTAATTCTTGTAATGAAACTTTAGATAAATCTTTCGATTCTTCTGTGGCAGCTACAACATGGTCAAACTTTACAAGCAAGCTTCTTAGAATTATTTGAACAATTGTTTTGTCAAGAAACATCTCCATAACGTCTAATCTCATTTATTATTCCAACAACGCTAAAAAAAAGGTCTGAACTGATTCACTATCTTTCATCATCAAATTATTAAATTCTCTACATAAATTTTAGAGTTTGATAGAAATCACTTTTTTAGATCCCTGAAATTCTTTTTCAAAATATCCCATGCTTCTTTTGATTTTGAAGCAATTTTAATTCGAGGAAAGATAAATTTACTTACAACTTGCTGGATGAAGAGAAGGGCTTTTGCATCACTCTTTTAATTTTTTTTGAGTGAGGCTAACAATGCATCACTCTTTAATTTTCCTTGTATTCATTTTGTTTCGCTTGTGACCATGATTCAAGCGCAATTGCATCTTCTGGCTCTGGACAGCCTTCTTCAACAATATCCCACAAATCTTGTGAGATAAAGAGAGTCTTCATTTGGAGACTCCATGAATCGTAATCTTCTCCATCTAGGATGGGTATTAGGTTTTGAGTAGAATTCATCCCGAAATTGATGCCATAGGCAAAGCTTAGGCAAAGAGGTCCCTTAGGGCATGAACCAGGCTTTGATACTAAGTGTTGGAATTTGAGGAAGCTTTGATACCAAAAGTTGTTGGAAATTTGCAAATAATGGTAGAAATGATGAAGAGGAAGCAGCATTCACTCTAGAAAATTTCACTATTGCATTTAGAATAGTAAAAACATGGGTTACATAGAAGTAGTATAGACGGAAGGATCCATACTATTACAAGATTTTTCATAAGGTTTTCTCTTGTTTTCCTACTTCTCTCAACTTCTACGTACTTATTTATAAACTTTTTTCAACCACCCATCCATATGGTTCTAGATGAGCCACTTGTTCCACCGCCTTTAACTCTTTCCATATTGTTCTACACTTTCATCGTCTTATTTTTTATAAGACTTCTTCATCGATTTTGACTTCTTAGAGTCTTCATTGTTCTAGAGAGAGGAGAGAACGTTTGAGAGGAATCATGATGTAAGTGATGACATGACGATGGATGTATGATGTCATGATGAAGTAATGATGAGATGAGGTGGAAACTGACAAATTATTTTTAATAAGAGAATGCATCCATGTTTGTTATGCCTTTTATCATAGGCTACAAAAATTTGGGGTCAGCAACAATTACAAAAGAAAACATTTAGGATCTACAGCCACAGCTTTGGGGATGGTCCACAGTGAGAATCTTGTCATGTTTGGCTAACAATCCAAAGATAAAGATGGGTGGTGCTTAGATTCTTCAAAAGTAACATCCAGGAGAAACCCCTACCCAAATATCCAGCTCCTAGAAAAGAATTGAGAAATGACGCTCTATCTCATTTCACTGTCCCCTGTCAAAATCTCTAGTTGACATAAGATCTTTTTCGAGGTGTCCTAAGATAAAATCTTCTTCAAGGTGTCCTAACAATTAACCTAACTCCAATCTTATGGAGTTGGAAAACAGATGTTAGAAGTAAAGAGTTCTTTATTTTGTTGGTGAAATAGTGTTCTGTTAAGAGACTATATGTTGTGTTGTCTTTCTGGTTATATGAACATATTTTGTGCTTGAGAGTCTGCTATCTTTTTGTTCCATTCTTGAGTTCCTCTATATAAGGAAGATACCATTGTCATTCCCCATTTTTAAATGAAAATCTGTCCATGTAAAATATAATATGGGACGCAATTTTATGTGGTATCAACATGTATGACATTCATAAATAATAGGAAAGAAATGACATACAACATAATACCGATTTCATAAGCAGGCATGTCTCACCATATCTAGAGACCATTTCAACATTTTTATTGAGAATGAAATTGGAATGGTAGTCCTAACCGCTGTGGCATATTTTTGGGAAATTTCCATTTAATTTGGAAGCCTTGACAGCAGGATTTGAGCGGCTCCAAAATTGCTCAAAACCATGGTTTGTAAGAGAAAATTATGTATTTTATATTGATACCCGTCACAAAGTCTTGTGTGGTTTTGACATCTTTCCATGGCGAAAGGGAAAGTGACAATACTCCCCATCTTTCACATGCAAACTTGCACACTCCTCTGCTGATATCCTTAATCCTTGTGGATCCCCTGTTGTGAGTTATCAAATGTCCATTTTGATAAGAATGAGCATTGTGATACTCCCCTATCATCTTAACAGTAGTGTACAATGTAGAGTTACCTGAAATGAGGTGGGAATGTGACAGGTGACGGGCACCATCAAGCACATAACTAGAGGCACCAATGTCCCTTATCCATGATAAGCATGACAAAGAAAATAAAGATGTACCATGTAGAACTTGTTGGATAGCAATGTTTCATGGCTAAAAGCCTCCTGGAGAGGAACTAGAAGCATTCACAAGAGAAAAAAAGGTAGTGGTACCCAAATCAATCGAAGAAATGTATCATGAGGTACTTGGGCATGTTTATGGCAGACTCATCGGGTTTATGACTAGATCCATGTGTTGCTCCGTTTCTTATGGCATGTTAACTATGTGTGTGTCGTTCCATTCATTAACTCGCATAATTTCATGTGGCCTATTTCTTTACGATAATTACATCAAGATAAATAGCAATCCTTATTAAGGATTTATTTCAAATATCAAATCTAGCTAGCCAATGGTACTGTTACTTCGAGTGTGAAAATCGTAGGAAAAGAAAATTGCTATTAATACTTGCATTGAGTTTGAAGCATGGAGTTATTGAAATGCAAGTGAAAAATGCTTTACAGGTTGATGCACTAGAAGATCTCAAGCTCAGATCATTTATTGTTCGATTTAAACATGTGTATTATGTACTTCAACAACAAACGGGGAGACCATTAAATTAGTTACAAAAAGTTTGCTCAAATCAGTAATAATGGCTGTTCTTGCTCTGTAAATATAGGCTAGTTTCGAGCTTCATACTCCTTTGGTTGTCATGAAGCACATCTGGGTAATAACTATCTACTGTCCCAATGAGTTATCCATCATCCATGCAATAATTCTTAAAAAGTTGAGCTATCTACTGTCCTTAAGTAATTGCTGACCCATTTATTCTCGAACATTTTGTATTATGGGGTTATGATTTCGAGCTTGACAAGTTTAGCATCAGAAATATCAATGTAATCTCCAAAATACCTACCATAAACCAGGAGTTATTCATCATAATCATCCGCAACAAGTAACAAGAAAGTTGAAATGAGACTTCCCCATCAAGATTCAGATGTTGGTGATTAGCTGCATCATGGGTTTCATAGTTTATCTCATAAAAAAGGGGTAAAACACTATCTTGATTTGGATGGCTCATGTTCAAGACTAAAGACTGAGTACGAAATTATGCAAACACTGCGGCTGATTTAATCACATGACAAGAAGAACTCATCTACTTCTATTGGCAATCATTCAAGCTGGCTATTTTCAAAATCAAAAGCAAATTAGAGGAAGCATTAGAAGTTCCCAAATATGATCAGTATGGGTCTTCAAAACCTCAAAAAGAAAATAATATGGAATAATTTTTTATTCACAAAGCAGCAAGTTTCATTGGATACTTTCGCAGATTGTCCAGGGCTAAGCTGACATTGCTCTACTTATGTAAAAGTGTTTACTCAAAAAATCAAAACAACACTTGGCTATACTTCACAGAGAAAGTGAGAGAGTAAAGTTCAACCCAAAACGGCGGATGAGAGGAACACTTAATGCTGTTACTCTGAAGATATCGGAGGCCAGAAGAAGAAATAGTACCTGGATTAGGTCATTGACCATCTCCTCCTTTGTTGCTGAATCCATTAGCGATCCTCTCTCTCTCTGACCGAGAATCTCCACGCTGCAACTGGTTCAATCGAAAAGCCAAACTACGAAAATTCGATTAGTAGGCAGACTTCGATTGAGCATTTAGGCATGGTCACGCTAATTTGCGTTAATATCAATTACCCAAAATAATTTGCCAAATATCCCTCTAAATCACCCTCTTTTGTTCGAAAAAAGTTTGTTTTTTTTTTTATATTCTATGGGAATTTTATGAGGAATTTGTATTATCAAATTAAAACATGTCATCCATATGCTATATTTTGTCTTGGAGTCTCACTTTCAAGAATGTAAATTATCTTCATTTTATTATCTTTTTGTATATTTGATTAAGCTCGAGTTTTGGGGAGTTAATAATTCTCATCATCTCACATTTGTTAAAAAAATATTCTAAAATAAATAAAATAACCAAAATAACTTTCAAATTTTAAAATCTATAGGGCTGTTTTGTTTATTTTTAGGTAACTTCAGATTTTTTAGTACTTCTTTATAAGTGAGTTAGGAGTGAGTTAGGAAGAGAAAGGATGGACAATTGAGTTTAATCGAAAATATGGAAAAAAAGAATAAAATTAAAATACAACAATTTTTTTTGACAAATATTACTACATTTATTAATAACTACAAAAGGGAAATTACATCATTAGAGACAACAAGAGAAAGCAAAGAAACACCTCCCTTCGCCAAAAGATCAGCCACATTATTAGCTTTGTGATAAACATGACTAAATGAGATCGATAAAGATGCTGTTAGATCCATGATCTATAACTATAAAGATCTGAGCTCCCAAGGGACTCTTTGTTCCTTATTACACCATCTAATCGTGTTCAAATAGTCTCTTTCAATCATATAGCAATTGCTAAGATCTCTATTGATGAAAAGCTTCAATCCTTATAACAAGGCACACAATTCTGTGTAGTTAGCTTTTGCGGTACCTATTAGACCAGCATAGGTGAAGATAACCTCTCCATATCAATCACGCACCACACCACCAATACCAGCTAACATAGGGTTTCCCAAGGAGCTTCCATCAAAGTTCAACTTAAAACTCCCTTGACATAGTGCAATCCAATACATCTCGGTCTAGCCCCACTAAGTCCAACAGAAAAAAGATTTATCAAATTAATCATCACATCTACTTGTGAGATACTCCATCCCTTCTTTGTAGTCGATAGCCACGACCAAATTGATTGTTTGATTAAATAAATCAATCTATCAAAGGGAATAGAAGTCCCTTCAAACGTCCTATTTGTTCTTCTCCTTCCATATCTCCTAAAGGATCACCTATCTGGCTATCTTCCAAACTACGCTTCCAGTCTTAGGCAGATGGGGTAGTGCTAATTGCATTACAATCCCAATCACATTTTGAGGAAGCACTATATTCAACCCTAAAAAACCAAACAACCAAGACCAAATCCGCATAGTAAAAGGGCAATGAATAAATAGATGCACATCATTCTCCCCATCTACCTTGCACATCAAACATACATTAGGCAGCATTTTACCTCTTTTTATCAAGTTATCCTATTGTCAGTACTTTATCCTGAGCAGCCAACCAGATAACCACTTGAACTTTGTGATAGTAAGTCATTGTTATATTTGAGTGGCTTGAGCAAATGACTATCTCCACCTATCATGAAAGAAATGAATATAAGAGGAGTTTACTATCAAAACACAATCACTTTCAATCTCCCAAATAATCTCATCCCGTGCATTATGTGATATATGAGCCTTATCCAACATTTCTATCAGTTCACACCATTGGGATAACATCAAGTTATTCAATTTATTATAAGGCAGATAAATATTCCACGAATTATGTTGTCCCCTTCATTGACCTTTACATTAGGCCTAGTGACTATCGCAAACAAATTGGGAAATACCAATTTTAGAGGATAATCTCCTAGCCACTTATGGTGCCAAAAAACGATTTAATTACCACAGCCTAGGTTTCATCTAAAGTATCCTGCAATCATAGGCCTACATTTAAAAAAATCTCTCCAAACAAGAGAAGTATTCCTTCCCCGTCCTCCCCAAAGCCAAAGATCTTACCTGTCCATGCCATATTTGGAAGATAAAACTTGGTATCATAGCTGATTCTTCAGATTGAGACTGCACTACCATTTGCACATTAGAGCTTGGTTTACAATTCTAATTTTTTGAATACCCAAACCTCCTTCCCTTTTTGGGGTGCATACTCTATCCCATCTTAACAGGTGATATTTTCTTTCATCTCCAAAAGAACCCCATAAGAAGTCCCGCATCTTCTTTTCAACTTTTTTAACAATCGATGTAGGTATATTTATCATCGATATTTGATAGACAGGTAGGTTGGGCAAACATGATCTCAGTAACGTGACCCTCCCTCCTAAAGACAGGTATTTAGGCTTCCAAAGATCTAATTTGACTTGGACCCTTTCTAAAACTTTATCCCAAGCAACAATGGAAAGCCTCGAGTCTGAAATAGGCAGGCTAAGATAAGTAACCGGGAAAGAACCAACCTTATGCCCCATAGCAATTGCCAGATTTTCTACCTCAATCTCATAACAATTTATACCAATTATGAATGACTTACGAAAATTAACTTTCAAGTTAAGGGTTACCTCACAACATTCAAAGATGTGGCAATATTCTTCACTTGTGATATCTTAGCATCACAGAAGATTAGAGTATCATCTGCATATTGAGGTGTGAAATACTCATTCCTGATTCTGAGATCTTAAATCCCAAGAAATGTCCCTTACTTTCTACCTTTCTCATCATCAAACTGAAGCATTCGGCATAAATAGTAAATAAAAAATGAGATAAAGGATCCCCTTGATGAAGTCCTCTTGAGGCATTGAAGAAACCAATAGGAGTCCTCTTAAACAAAAACGAAAAATAAGCGGAGGATAAACATCCAAAAATCCAACTCCTCCACCTATCTCCAACCCTGTGATCTTCATAATTTCTAACAGAACTCCCCACTCCACTCTATCATATGCCTTTTCCATATCTAGCTTTAGCATAACTCCAGGCCTTTTACACAACACTCTAGAATTGATACATTCTTACACCACTAAGACGTTGTCAGTAATTTGGCGATTCTGAATAAAGGCTGACTGCGTACAGGAAATGAGTAAAGGCAGAGCAACTTTCAATCTACTGCCAGCACCTTTGTCGTTATTTTATACAGGCTCGTTAGCAAGCTAATCAGTTTAATATCTGAAATATCATATATTACCTATTTCTTTGGAATCAAAGTAAAAAAAGTAGAATTCACCCCCTTATAAATTTGTCCTCTAATCATGAAACCTCTAACCATTTCCAATAATGCACCTTTAACCATATTCCAAAATATATGAAAAAAAACTAAAGGAAAACCATCTGGTCCACGAGTTTTAACACTCGACATTGCAAAAACTGCCTTCTGAAGCTCCTCTAAAGAAATATCCCTCTCCAAATGGCACTTCATCTCTACCGACAACACTTTGAAGGGAACTGTGTCTAACTTAGGGGCAAATTTGACTTCTTTTGTAAAAGCCCTCATAAAATGATCTACGATTGTTGATTCCATAACAGAATCATTCTTTGAATCTATTCCAGGGATGATCAATCCAGAGTTATCATTATGCCTTCTTCTCACACTAGCAATCGCATGAAAAAACTTGGTATTAAGGTCGCATTCTATCAACCACTTGGATCTAGATCTTTGCTTACAATAAATTTCCTCTGATCTCCAAAGATCATCCAATGCTTTTAATTTCGAACTTTGTTCCAATACTGAATGCTCTATTAAAACACCCGAATTTTGGATGTTATGGTTTAATAATTCAATATCAGCTAAAGCTCCCTCAATTTTTGATTTGATATCAAAATTGTTTTCTTTCTTTCATGAGAGAAGCTTATGTTTGATATTCAACAATTTTTTATGTAATTGAAAATCCAGAGTGCCCATATAAATAGAATTTTCTCAAGCCCCTCTGATCATATCAACGACTGCTTTCTTCTCCAACCACCCAACATCTAATCTGAAGGGTTTCAGGCCTTCCCTCACCATACTAGTATTAAGCAAAATAGGGATATTATTCGAAGATAATCTAGGCAATGACCTGACCGACGCTAGGGGAAACGCTTACATCCAATCCACAGATATCAGAAACCTATCTAGCTTAGACATAGATAGATTATTGATATTGTTATTTGACCAAGTGAACTTATATCCAATAATAGGGAGATCCATAAAAGAATTGCTTTCTATAAACCTATTAAACATCCTCATTGATGAATTAATAAGAGTTCCAGCTAAACACTCATCTGGCCAACGAATAAGATTAAAATCCCCCTAATCATCATAAGAAATAGAAAACTATGAATAGCAAAATTTATCTCATTAACATTCATAAAACCCCATAAGAAACCAGACATCTGTCCATTGAAAACCTAATAACATAAATCTATTCCTTACAATGGTATCAAAATTTTGAAGGACCAAGGGGTCCCACAAAACCCATAAACCTCTTGATGTGCCTATCGTATCAATCCCACAGAAACTACTGTACCGGAACCCCCATACCTCTATAGCCCTAGAAACATTGGCACTAGGGAGTTTGGTTTCTTGTAAAACCAAAACCCCCAGTTTATACTTAGAAACTAGCAACAAAACATCTTTTTTTCTACTGGGGTCACCCAAACCCCTAACATTCCAAGATAAAAAGTTCATCTAAAAAATAGAAGGGGGATAGTTAGAGGAGGAACCTGGTCCATCTGGACCCCCACTGAAATACAATTCCTCCAACATCAGAGCTTCATTCATCTCGTCATCCAAAGTTGATGAGGTCGATGAAGAGGAATCTAGCTCCAACACCAATGGGTCGAATAAGGAAATTGTTGCAGCTGACGAACCTCCCATAGGAATTCGACGAGCCTCAAGTCTCGTTGAAGCACGCACACCCTTCACAGGAACCTTGTTCTTCTTAGCAGTAGAAAAACCTTTATCAGGGGTCTGAGAAGAAGAAACAGTCTTGGCTGGTGTTTTACCCTCGTTCTGGGCTGACAATTCCAATTCCCTTTTCTCAACAGCTTTCCTAGCCCTCCTACGTTCCCTAATATCCTCTCAATCACCACA